CAGCCAGCCCAGGGTCTGGGGGCGTTTGATTCCCACCAGCCAGTGGGGACCACCCTGACCGAGGGGGCAAAGCTGGGTGCCGCAGAGCCCCCGGGGTGGCAGGGCACTGTCACCCAGTTGACACAGCCCCAAACACCCCCTCAGGGCTTGGCCGCACTGGTGGGGCCGTTTGCAAGGTGCCAAGTTGCCAGCAATCGCTCTGGGACCCGTGCAGCCATCAGCCCCGAGCCTCAGCTCGTTAATGCCTCCCAGCCCTGAGCAGTTCATTACCTTTTGTGGCCCCGGCGGCCCCCAGATGATAAATGGCCCCCAGGATGAGCCAGAAGGCTTTCTGCTCATCACTGGAGATGCCCATCACCTTCATGGCAGCCTGGAGCTTGTTGAACTGCTGGGTCGCCTTCTGCTTTTCCTCCGGCTGCAGAGAGCAACGGGAGCCATCGGTGTGGGAGCCCAGTTCTGCCTCCTCCCCAGCACCCAAATGGGCCAGGGAACCCCATCCCCCCCTACAGCCCCCCACCCAGTCCCATAGCAGTGACCTTGGAGAGAGGGGTGATGCCGAAGACGTTGTTCTCAGCCAGGTGGTTGAAGTGAAGCTCAGTCCTGCGGGGGATAAACACCGAGATTGGCCCCGTGTGGGAGACCCTGGAGACCCCCCGGGCCAGGGGCTGTGCCCTCATTCCCCCAACTCACCGCAGGGCACTGTCGGAGCAGGCCAGCAGGTAGTAGAAGACGTTGAAGGTGGCTTCGTTGGCTGGGCGCTGGGCGACACGCAGCTTCTCCAGGAGCAGCGTCTGGCGGAGGTGGGAGAGTTAGGAACTGTCCCTGAGGGTCCCGCTCCCACCAAGACACGCACCCCCACCCCCCCTGCTGCCAGCCCAGGGTCCTCATGGAGACGTGAGGGTCTCCCGCCCACCGCAGGGCATTGTATGAATGCAAACATCATTCAAGCAACCCACGAGCATCTCCTCTCCTGGGGTGTCTGCTACTACAGGGGCATGAAGCAGTCCTCTTGAATTTTAAGGACTCTGCTGTTATCACACTGGGATGGCATTTGGGAGAAAGACACCCCGATATCGGGGCTAATTCAAGGAAGGATGGGGAGTCGATCTGATCTGTGCACATCCAGGTGTGAACAAAGACGAGAGCGGGACGCCTGGCTGCTAAGCGCTGCGAGCACAGACGGGCAGCCAGTGGGGGTCTGCGGCAGAGCTTGCGGGGCTGGGAAGAACCGTCCTGGCAAGGATGGACCAGCTCCCATGCCAAGGGGGACCACCCTGGTGAGGATGGACCAGCTCCCGTGCCAAGGGGGACCACCCCGGTGAGGATGGACCAGCTCCCGTGCCAAGGGGAGCCACCCAGGCCACCTCACCTGTACGGAGGCGGATGCCACCTGCCCAGCCTGGTCGAAGTCCAGAGAGATGATCTGGGAGAAGCGGGTGGCGTTGCCGTTCATGCCGGTGCTGCTATTGCCAAAAGCCTCCAGGATGGTGTAGAGAGCCTGCCATTTCTCCGCTGCGGGAAGAGAAGCGGAGCGGTGGGGTGCAGGGGCTGTGCGGCGGGCGGCC